TACGAGGGGAGAGCAACAACATTATGGTCTCAATAAATCATCCACATATTTAGAGATTTCTTTTCTGTAGCAGTACCGTTGCCCGAAATTATGGGTCTGCCAGGATGGCCTGCTTTGTGGATTTTGGGTAGGACATAGAAACGTCCTTGTGCCGGATCGACCTGGATGAGATGGGGTCCAATTTTGGGATCGATGGAACCTTTTTTAACCATCTTAAATACAGATTTTTCCACTTCCTTAGAAATTTCCGGAGTGGGGTCCTCTGTGAGCTTCCGATAGTGAAGAGGATTGTTTAGTTGTCTTAAGGACTCCTCTTCATAGAATTTAATGTCCATTACAACAGTGGCAGAGCCTTTATCAGCTGGTTTGATGATAATATCATCACGCTGACGCAAATTGGCGATGGCCTGCCTCTCATTTTTTGTGAGATTGTCGCGAAAATCTGGACTAGGAGCGTGATTTTTAACGTCCTCCTCAATGGCCTGAATGAAAGTTTCTAAAGCTGGGCAACGATTCTTAGGAGGATTCCAGGTACTTTTTGGTTTGAATTTGTTAACATTGCCCGTGTTATTCGTGGTGTTGCCGTCGGAATCGGCGAAAAATTCACGGCATCTTAAACGTCGGAAGAAAGCTTCCAGATCCAAAGATAGTTGTTGTGGGTCAGACTGCCTCAGTTTTGGGCATAATTTGAGTCCTCGGGATAGAATTTTGGTTTCTCCTTCGGAAAGCTGACAGTTAATTGTTAACAACTGAATCCGTGGTGTTGCACGGATTATCACTAAAGCGCCGAATGAACCTTCTAGGTTTACGTGAAAGCCAAACATTGTGCGAAGGTTGGATATATATGTCTGTGTAGCGAGTGTTCATCCCTAATTTGAGAGTAAGCGAACAGTCACTTAATTCATCGTGGGGACTCGGGTTCCAGTTACGCGCTGCTCAGTCGGTAGAAGCTTATGCAACCATAATGAAAACTACGGAATCCTTTCTGTAATACAAAATAATGAAAATATTTATTAAATAAAGGAGATTATAATGGGGATTTATACAGGGACTTAAACTAACCTAAAACTACTAACGTGAGATCAAATTGAAGATAAAACATTATTATTGTCCATTTATCAACAGTCCAATATTAGTGTTCGATGATGTGCGAGCGAATGAAGCAAATCCGGCAATAGCGATAGCGACGGAATATCGTAGAATTCCAAAACAAAGTTATAAGATAGTAGCGAATTCAAAAAGAGGGAATTGCCAAATAAAAAGCCTGATTCCATTTACCTCCATGCACTCAGTCAGTCAGTCCAGAAATAAAATCGTCCATCAATATGATGAGGTAACACCATGAACTATCCTATGTCGAGCAGACATGGGCCTGGGTGTTCCTATATCCAAAAAAATCTCAAAACTTGTAAAATTAAAATGGGCTTGCTGCTTACTCCAGCCAAATAACTTAACTTTCGACTGGGACAGAAACCTACCCGATCTCCATTGAGTCAGCTCGAGCAGAGCTGAACGGTGTAGACTCTGCCCCATCTATGTTAGTTTATCATTAGGCTGGTAGTAAGTACTCTGGCCACATGCCCTGAGCCACGGCCCTCGGGCTGAGGTACCGCTCTTCTTTCACTGGACTTCTTCATTCGATTTCTTTCACTCCAAAATTCAATTCTCCTCTAGCAACAAAGTTTCTGGTATCTTATAGAAGAATAGGCTCCTCCTTGTTTGCGTAAGTTCTAGTCTATCTTTTAATTATAATCATGTGATAAGTTCATTCTTATTGGTTCCTAGTCCTGGTTAACACCCTAAAGTGACTTTTATATTTTTAACCGGGACCCTCTGCACCTCACCATTACCAAATAAGGCAATTAATTAACAAAGATATATGCTAATTGTGTATGCCAAATAAGGTAATGAATGTGGTTGGGAGAGGTACTATCGCCCCTAGGGTAGGGCTGGTATGCCTAATGATTATCACAGGGAATAGCAAGGCCCTATTTTGCTATTATGGGTTTACGTAACACACTGATCATGTAATGACCACTATTACCACTCCATAACTATGAGACAAAGAAAGAGATAACAACCTATACTAAAAAATATTCCTTAGGCCTAATTACAGACTAACTATAATTGAAAATGAATACTAAGGCATAAAACACACTATTACATATATATATATATGGGCCTATAAATCCCAGAATCAGCAAGAGGAATATTGCAATGATTAATATACAGTAATTTGAAACGTAACAGAAGAGGAATCTAACAAAGAAAGAAAAGTACCAGGCATAATTTGAGTTCCTTTATTTCTTGTAAAGTGTCTGACGTCACGATGTTCAGAGATCTGAAAGATAGACCCTCTTTTGTGACTTATTTTCAGCTTTGCTGAATCTCGAAAGAGATACTTGTGCATATATAATAATTTTAAGGCTTGAGGAAAATCCAGAAACATCAAGCGAAATAATAATAATAATAATAATAATAATAATAATAATAATAAATAATTATAATTTACATTTATATAGCGCATTTCGCACAGTGCCTCTAAGTAATATGCAGCAAAGCGGTAAAAGTGCATGTATTAAGTGTAAAGTTCAAATCTCCCTCTTTTTTTTTGTTATAGTTTTTTTTCCAATTTATTTTGTTATTTTTGTTATTTTGCATATATAGAATATTTTTTTTCATATTTTATTATTTTCCACAATTTTTTTTTCTAAATTAGGACTGATTGTGAGATACCGGTATACGGCCAGAAAATATTAAAAAGCATTCTAAAATCTCCATCTTCTCCAATCCATCCGCAAGCCCGTCAGTCGGCCTTACACTCCTTCCGGGATGCTTGTCCAGAATTTGACACATGGTCTCGAATCGGTCCGCTCTATAGTGAGCCTGGCCTAATCAAATGACTCGTTCGAACGATCCGCTCGAGTTGGCTCTGTCAGTTGCGAGCGAAAAATAATAACTTTCTAAAGTCTACACCTTCTGATGAGCACCAAATTGGAGGGGGTCCGAGATACATGTAATATTGTCAATGCTGTAAAACTTTGAGGTTAATCGGTCAGGTAGTTTTTGAGTTATGCTCCCGGAATTTACAAACGCACCAAACAGACACACACACACACACACACACACACACACACACACGCACACACACAGACGGAGCTCATTTCAATACCCTCTTCCCAAATTTGGGGTGGGGGAGTGAAGGGTAACAACACTGGCTGCATTAGAGAGCGATTGTATCGGCGACGTGAACAGTAAATCAAAGTTGTGGGACTGAAATCTATCTCATCATGATAGTTCATGGCATTGGTGGGCGCGATAAAAAAACACAGAAGAATGCAGCGGCTTCGCGAAACAATCATTACCCTGCCTACCTCGGACTCTCGAGGTATACATAAAATGCGATCTACAACCTCGGAAAATGGTAATCTCTTATTAGAAATAATCTCACTTCTCATTTTTGTTTAATATTCTTTAGTGTAAAACTAAAATGTATGCCAATATTTTTCTATGGTTTGTAACAATTAGAGCAATACATATACATGGTCTTTAACCACAGCTTTTCTGTGTGTAAACACAAAAGCCAGTTTTATTTTGAAAGGTATCTTAGGGGTAGGTCTGTGCCAATACATGTGGTGAATCGATATACAGTAGATATTTATATCGGGTTCTCTGGATGTCGGGTTAGCTTCCTTCAGAGTGGAGCTGTTTTCAGCAACATGGAACTTAATTAATAATTTGATTTTTTTTTTATCAAACATTAGATGATTTGTACAAACTAAACCTCTGTATGATAATATTATTTGGTTACATGTTCACGTCCTGACATACAATTGTAAATGGAACTTCTCACTTGTAATCGTATATATACGATACAACATCATGTTCGTAGCATCTTTGAGCATTCAAATCATTAACTACTGTTCTTTTGGCATATATGGCCGATTCTCATGAAGTTTCGGTAAAGAGCCATGTAAGTTCGAAAATATTTGACCTATATTTGGTGATGAAATAGAAAGAAAACCGTAAGAACATTTGAAAACAAAATTTGCAAACACAAACTCCGGAAATTGACACGAGGCCAACTGAATGATGTTCTAAGAGCTGTTTAGTGTTACAGCACTATTTCACTACCTTGCGCAATAACCTTGCGCAATAATAATGGGTATTTATATGTCCCGACCATGATCTGATACAGTGGACTGTGTAATTTCCATTCAATAATTCAATTCCGGTATATCACCTAAATAAATGTATAATATGTGTACATAGTATATTAGACCAGCAACGATTATGAAAAAAGGCCTAAAAATTGACTTAGCCAGTAGTGTTTCGTAAAGGATGGAAACTATGCTAAAAATTATCCTTAGGCCTATTATATGTTCTTCGATTTTAGGGGGTTGTCACAGTTTAAAATTACCCAAACATGCAAATTAGGGAGTGCAAAGGTCATAGCGTCAATTTTAATGAAAAAACCGATATATTGATAAAATATGGGGTTTTTGTGTAAATTCAAGGTAGTTTTAGGTTGTAATATATGTTATAAATGATTAAAATTAGTTTTACCAAGATGGCTGACAAAATGGCACCCTCTTTTCATTAACTTTAGTCCTATACTGTATATGTATCACTCGGTAATGGAATCTCAGACAGTATCAGTACTATTTTACATTATTCTGAAAATTATAATGGTGACCTCTTGAGAGAATTTATATGTCCCTTTTGATGTCACATGAGTTATTTCACTGGTACTGCGTGGGATTCCATTTCATGAATTGTTGTTCTGGATTGATCTGGATTTTTATTCGATATTCGTTTGTTTTTCCTCTGTATTTTTTTCCTCCTTCTTGGAGCACAACCAGAAGGAGATGCACAACCAGAAAGCGACGCACAACCAGAAGGCAAGTATGATAAGATGTGTATAAGAGACAGATATATAATTACATTAAATAATCCAGATGTTAAATGTGCTGTTATAAAATATATATGTTTGTTTTTAGACGTTGATGCCATCATGGACTGTAAAACTCTGGTTTTGGCCGTTGTCATGATGTATATTGTCAGTAAGTAAATTTAACGATTATTCGACCTTCCAAACAACTAAGATCTGTGCGGATAATAGGAATTTATAATGCCTGTCTGCTAATATGCAGTTACAAACCGTATAATATATCTTACACGAACAAAAAGACAAAAGGAATTTGGAATGTTATTACTGTATATATAAAGATCATGACATACATTTCGCAACTGATACTTCAAACACCAAAGTTTCAGTGACACATAACAGAATTGAAGAAATCAAGAACATAAGATGGGAGATGATATTTAATCGTTTACATAATTAATGCTTTTTGAAAATTTGTTTTTATCTATCAATATATTTTCATTTCCAGATGGTAGCAATGCATTGCTGTGTTACAACTGTGCACAAATTCAAGATCCGACCTGTGGACAAACTCTATCGGATACGAGTAGTATTCCTCAGATTACCTGCTCAGGGACATGTATGGTAAGGAGAATCTCATTATGTTGGCCTTACAACTGTCTCTAAAAGTCAGTTTCTTAATGGGAAAATTCAAGGGAGTATACCACTTGTCCTCATAGTATTCAAACGGAAATCGGGTGTTGGTTTCGAATCCCGATGGGCACATACGTTTTCTCTAATATTCACTATCGTCATAAATATAGTCATCTTGCAAATTCTGATAGGCCTATACTTAGTTGCCTGGAGCGACTGCGCGGCCTTAAATTTATAGTCTTTTTTTCATTTCCCGTTCCATAAAAGTCAGATCCATCTTCTTTCACGTTTCCATTATAGGCCTATCATTGCATTATCGGACGTCTGGAATTATTAAATACCGTTAAATCAGTAAAGTGTGTATTTGTATATCAATGGTACTTTCGTGTGAATGCTTGATGTAATTCTGTGTTACTTGCAGTTGTTAAAAGGTTTCATGCCTATAGGAAACACCGTCATGGAAATGTACACCAGGTCTTGTGAACAACACTGCATTGACACGTGTATAAATATGACAGACGTGCCAGGCTTGACCGTTTGTAGCAAGTGCTGCACAACTGATCTCTGCAATATCCATTATGTCGAAACTGCACAGACAGGCGATGGAGAAACAGACTTACATGTACAACCAGAAGGTGATACACAATCAGAGGCTACTGCAAAACCAGATGGTGATCCACTACCAGGTGATGCACAACCAGAAGGAGATGCACAACCAGAAAGCGACGCACAACCAGAAGGCAAGTATGATACGATGTGTCGTTAAGTTGTGTATCTGTTTGAATCTATGAATATGATTTTTGCAAATTTTTTCGTTATTTATACTTTCAGATGATAGCAATGCATTGCTGTGTTACAACTGTACACAGGCTCAAGATCCGACCTGCGGACAAACGCTATCGGACACGAGTAGTATTCCCCAGGCTACCTGCTCAGGAATATGTATGGTAAGAATCTCATTACGTTTGATTAATTCATAATTCAACTATGGTGATTGATTAATCAATTATTATAGAAGCATATTGGGTTAATGTTGCGACAGTCTTTCCCATGTAGCCCATACATTAAGTGCGTTCACAGTATCATTAGTAACGTTGAATATATTTGTGTGTCCACATGATTTTTTCCATGATGAGTATCGCTTTACTAATTCTCGTCTCCAACAATCACATTTCTGGGGAAAACACTAAAGGTTTTGCAATTTCTGAAGACAATGTTAGCTTCTGCTTGTCTGCATTTTTAAATAAGTTTTTTCCAGTTTTCTAAATTCATCCTCACTAACATAACTGATAACTCAAATCGTGAATAATGGATTCAAACGATCAAAAGGATAATAAACAACAAAAATTTAAAAGCAGTTAAACCAAGGTTTAAACAAGTATTTTTTTCAGAAATAGGCCTATTTCAGTTATATCACATAGTCATCATCAGTGAACTAAAAACTGAATAGATGGTTGTATGTAAGCTGATCTTAATGTTTTAACCAATCACATTTCTGTTATGTCGATTTTAGTTTTATTATTTGTTTTATCCAGTTTAGTGTTCTTAGGCTTGTCATAATATGACTGTCGAATCTGTATTTATATAACACTTGTCACTAAACAAAGTTTGAGATGTGGTTTGATTATGTCCATTTCAAACCCTGAATATTCGTCTTACTTGCAGTTATCAAAAACCACTATGCCTAAAGGAGACGCAGTCATAGAAATTTATACCAGGTCTTGTGAACAATTCTGCCTTGACACTTGTATAGATATTCCGGACGTGACAGGCATGACCATATGTAGCGAGTGCTGCACAACTGATCTATGCAATAGCAATTATGTCAAAACTGCACAGCCAGGCGAAGTAGAACCAGAAGGTGATGCACAACCAGGTGATGCACAACCAGATGGCGACGCAAAACCAGAAGGCAAGTATAGTGAGATGTATCGTTAATTTGTGTATCCGTTTGAAGCAATGATAAATTTTGTAATTTTTTTCGTTATTAATAATTTCAGGTGGTACCAATGCATTGATGTGTTACAACTGTACACAGGCTCAAGATCCGACATGCGGACAAACGCTATCGGATACTACTAGTATTCCTCATGCTACCTGCTCGGGGATATGTATGGTAAGAATATACGTTGGACTAATTCATAAGTAAGACACATGAAGATTAAGTAAAACACTGAAGTAGCATATTTAATGGCATGTTTTGTGACAAGGCTTTTCTCAGGGATACTACACTCAATTATATACAATAGTGTATTACTTCTTTGTCTCAAGCGGTGACATCATTTTTATTTAAGTATTTATTTAAGCAATACTACTGTGTGGTGAATGTTGTTTTGGGGTTGTTCCATATTATGTCAGTTGAATGTATATATATACTGTCTCTTATACACATCTAGATGTGTATAAGAGACAGGTATTGTTCTTATCGTGAAGACCTGATCTTTTAATAGCAAGATTACAGTTGCAACTTGGTGGATAAATACCAAGACATTTTCTCAGAGTTCGACCCAGAGGTTTTTTCAAAGAATTTGTTTAACCCCGTAGAAAAACTTTATCTAAGTTATTTTTTATTTGTCTAGCGCAGACTGGACACAGGTTCAGTCGTAGGTACCATAACGCGCAACTCGTTCGCTTCCTTGGGATTAATCCGGGACTGAGCCGTGTAGCCATGCAGGTATAACGCAATAAACTTATCCGCTAAGACTGCCCTTGGAAAACGCATGCGCAAACGTACACAAACACTTGCGTTTGTTGAACAACACGTGTGTGTTTGGAACAAGCGCGTATTCGTAGCGAGGTTCTGATAGTTTATCTCTTATGCAACATTCTTTTATATCACCTTTGTGGTTTGATTTACTTACAGTAAATACACATATATATTATAGCATATAAGTACATT